AGCAACTCCTTTGAGAAGGTTCCCTTTCGACCATGTGAAGATAGCGAAAATGTATTAGGTCCTGAAGTACCTTATATGAGCGCTATCGGTGGGCTTATGTATCTTGGAAATTGTACTCAACCAGATATAGCTTTTGCTACCAATCTACTTGCAAGATACAGCTCATCTCCTACGCGCAGACATTGGATGGAATAAACATATTTTCGTTATCTCCAAGGTACGACTGGTTTGGGTTTATTTTATCTTAGAAATCCCAAAGTTGGTCTAGTTGTTTTTTCAGATGCAGAATATTTATCAGATCCACATAAAGCTCAATCGCAAAATGGGTATGTTTTCACAATTGGTAGAACTGCGATCTCGTGGCGCTCCCAAAAACAGACTTTGGTTGCCACTTCTTCTAATTATGCGAAAATCAGTGCTCTCCATGAAGCATGTAGAGAATGCATATGGCTCCGATCCATGACTCAACATATACAAGGTGCAAATGGAATAGTCATTGATACGAAACCAACAAAAGTATTTGAAGATAATGCTGCATGCGTCGCTCAACTCAAAGAAGGTTTCATCAAGAGCGACAGAACAAAACATATTCCTCCAAGGTTTTTCTCTTACACTTAAGAACTCGAAAAAAATCAGAAAGTGGATATCCAATATGTTCGCTCAAGTGACAATGCAGCAGATCTCTTTACCAAGGCGCTTCCCACTACATCATTCAGAAAACACGTTCAAAGCATTGGAATGCGCCGACTAGGAGATCTATAAAAGACATTTATATCCATTTTTTCGAGAGGAAGATTATGTTACAGTACTCTTTTTCCCTTGTTATAGTTTTTGTCCCACTGGATTTTTTCATAATAAAGTTTTTAACAAGGTTGTACATAATATATTATTAGTGATGGATAATAAAGAAAGAGTGTTAAAAAGTGGATAATTATCCACACATACACCGACGTAACAATGTCGGTTCTCTTCCGCTATCTATACTATTATTTACGAAGTCAAAAATCTTAGGTGTCGTCTCCAGAGCGATTTGCTTATGTGTCATTATTAAAAAAAAAATATGTGGCATTTTAATTAATTATGATAGGTTGATCATTAATCTTACGTGTAAATATCCGTGACATGGCCAAAAAACTGATGTGTCATATCCATAGCGATTTGCTTATGTGTCATTATAAAAAAATATTATGTGGTGTTTTAATTAATTCTGATAGGTTGATCATTAATTCTACATGTAAATATCCGTGACATGGCCAAAAATCTGATGTGTCGTCTCTACAGCGATTGTCCTACGTGTCATTATTAAAAAAAATTATGTGGCGTTTTAATTAATTTAGATAGGTTGATCATTAATCTTACGTGTAAATATATGTGGCATGGCTAAAAATCTGTTGTGTCGTCTCCATAGTGATTATCCTAGGTGTCATTATAAAAAAAACAAATTATGTGGTGTTTTAATTAGTTCTGATAGATAGATCATTAATCATACATGTAAATACCCGTGACATGGCTTTTTTCTTCTATTATAGGCCAATGATTTTGTTTATGGGCCACTGTTCTCAAGTTAGCCCTAGCCACTGATTTTGGTTATGGATCACCGATATCAACGTTGGTACTAACCTAAACCCTAACGTATCTATCCTATATATACTCCTCTCGGTCTTCATGTTTTCTTACATACAACGTCCGTCTTCTAAGGTCTAGCATCTTTTTAAAAAATTTATCCACGTCTTTTTTAAAAATCAATATATACTATTATTTATGCATTTCTGTAATGACAACCTACTATTTTTTTATAGTTCATAATTTTCTGCTTTAAGACGTTCTTCTTATGTAAATCTATTGCCTAATAGTTCTTTCCTTCAACAAATTTATGAATTTTCTGTAGAGATTAGCAATTGTCCCCTTTGTGATCCTCAGATTTTGCCATACCATCTGCCTCCATCTCAAATTGCTTTTACAGAAGAAGAACATTTTTCTGCTGATGTTTACAACGATAAATTTACAGATTGGCTGAAGTTTAATTAGGACTATCCTGAAGCCATATCATATATGTATTCTAAATTTTGACCCATTGGATTTGGGATCATAAAAACGTATATGGCATCCCCGTCTTTGCGGCAACTCCAGCCGAGTATTATAGCCAACTATAACTCTAACACTGGTGAAGCCTACTTCTTGAGGGTTTCATTGCATGTCGTTTGCGATCCATGTTTTTATATAAATATAAGAACAATTAATGGTGTTGTCCACCCTACTTTCAAAGTCATGTTATGCTTTAGTTTTAATTCACGATGATATCGAGTATGTCGAAACTTTCTATGAAGGCAGGTCAATGGGTTTCCGCTCCTCTCTTCAAATGATGTACATTACTTTGTTACATGCAGGTTCTATGATGAATCATTTTCGTGTTTGGAGATCCATGCAATGTTTTTAGTATAAGATTTATCAATTCTTTGCAATGTCTTTGATGTTTTTCCTTAATTATCTTATTTAACAATTTTTTGAGATTTTTCATTGTGTTTGGATTTTTATTATTTTCCCTAATGTATTTTCTAAATTTAATAATAAACAATTAAACAAAATTTTAATTAGTATTTGCTAATTAATAATATATATTATTGTTATTATTTTACCCATTCATAATTGTTATAGAAGTTGTACTAATAGTTTTCGTAATAAATCATATATATTGCTCCTACTTTTATTCACTTACAATTCTTAAAAGTTAGAAGTAAAAGTATAAAGAATAAGACATAATTGATGATATAAGAACTCAAAAAAGATGAATTTGAATAAAACCATGGAAAAGAATAAGAAGCAGATGAGAACAAAAGATAGTGAAGAAGAATAAGAATAAGAAAAAAGATGTTGGAGTTAATGAAGAAAATCGGAAGAAAAATTGAAAGATGAAAAAAAACAAAGTAAAAAAAGAGGAAATGGGAAAATAAAGTAGGTGAAAATGAGAAAAAGATGAACAAAAACAAGAAGAAGAAGAGTTTGATGAAGACCAAAGAGGAATAAGAAGTAGAGAATAAAGAAGGCTAATAAAAATTAAAAAATAAGAAAAACTGAGAGAATACAAATATGATGAAGAAGAAGTCAAATACAATGAAGAAGATGAAAGAAAAAGATGAGGAATCGCAAGATATATAAAAGGAAGAAGAAAAAAACAGTACAAGTCAAAGACGATAAAGAAGAAAAAGGAAAATATGAGGAAAAAGAAGATGAAGAAAAAAAAGTACAAGTCAAAGATGATGAAGAAGAAGAAGAAAAATTATGGGAAAAAAATAAGATGAAGAATTTGGGGCAGAAAAAAAAAAGACAAAAGCCTTAAAATTGGAGACTGAAGAAGAAGACAAATAAAAAAAACAAAAAAAATAAGAAAAATACGAAGAATAACTAAACCAAAATATAAGGAAGAAGAGTACAATGAAACAAAAGATGAAGAAGAAGAAGATAAATCAGAAGAAAGAAATGAAATAGAAGTTGTAGATGATGAAGAAGTGGAAATAAAAGATAAGGAATAAGAAAATTGACATTGATGATAAAGAAGAAAGAAAAGATGAAGAAGAAAACCGAAAAAAAAAGAAGAAAAATTATGATAATACGAAAATATTGAATATTAAGAAGGGGAAGTGGATGATGAATTTGGAGAAAGATGAAGATAGAGAGATATAGAGTTAAAGCTTTCAGGGACATGTAGATTGAGAGAAAGAGTGTGTGAGGGAGAGAAATAGAGACAGAGAGAGAAAGAGAGAAAGAGAAATGGTAGAGAGAATTAAAACTTATAAGTACATGATATTAAATCTATGTTAGTTCGCATTTTTTGTGTTCTTATTTTTTTATATTTGAAATACTTCTTTCTTTAAATTAGTTATCTAAATCGTATGATATATACGATTTAGGACAAGAAGTGAAGGAAAAGAATAAGAGAAAAATATTGAATGAGAGAGAAGGAGAGAGAGAGACTGATAGGGAGGGATGCATGGAGAGGGAGAGAGAGAGAGTTAAAGTTTTGAAAGTACATGTATTTGATTGATATAAAAGACCAAGGAAAATAAGAAGAATATGAAATCGGAGAAAACGAAGAAGACGAAAGCGATGAAGAAGAAGAAGATGAGGAAAATATGTGGAAAATAAGAAGTAAGAAAAGACATATAAAATGAATAGGAGAAAGAAAACTAAAAAATACGTGAGAGAAGAAGGAGAGATAAAGATAGAAATTGATTAAGAAATATAAGAATAAATCATAAAGAAGAAAAACTACAAAATAAATAAGAGAAAAAAATAAATATGAAAAACAGTTATGTAGAGACAAAAGACTCGTTTTTGTCTTAGTTCAATTGATTTGTGAGTTCAATACATTTATTTAGTTAACATGTTTTTAATTTTGAATGGTGTTTATTTTTTGAATTTGTTTTATTTTGTCATATATATTTAAAATAATTTTTTTAATTCTTTTCAGTTTTTGGTTTATAACATATATATATATATATTACTTCCCCTTTTGTGTAAGTGAACGAAGTTAATTAAAAACTTCTTCTTCTCATATCATTTCTACTAAGCTCTTTTTCTCTCTCTCATATTATATATAATATATTTAACACTGAATTTTTTTCCCAATTTTAGAAAAGAGTATCTTCTCTCCTTCATTGATTCTCTCTATCGTTATCATACTCATTCTCCAAGCTTTCATGACGTCTTTGTAGAACAACCTATGACAATATTTTCACTATTATCGACATCTAATACACTCTACCCCTTTGAGAAGACATTTCCACGAAAGTAGTTATATAGACAGACATCAGTGTAAGGACTAAATAAGCAGATGTTTTACATTACTGCGAAGATTCGTTGATGAATCAATGACACAAATTAGCAGATGTTTGATATTGTAATGTTTTAAGTTTCAATTGATTTTGATTTTAACGTCATGAAATTTTCTTAGGCATTATACTAGTAAGGATCATTGAATCGATCATAATACTCAATGCAAATTTTTAAACAAGAATGATTAGCCAAAGAGATCACGAATACAATAACATTGGTTTTTTTTTGTTTTTTTTCTCATTTTCTGATCACCAGAAATGAAAAAAAAAAATGACATATTGGGTTTTAAGAAGAATGAGAATCTACCAATCTGGTTTAAGCACATAGGTCTTTACATCATGATGCGAAGAACAGCGAGTCCAACTGCTGAAATCGAGACAAGTGTACCAATGCAGTATTTGATGACTTCGTATTTTGCAGCTTCTAATTGAGCTCTCAAGGCATGGATTTCCTGCAAGAACAAACATATTATGTTTTCTCATCTTCCACAAGTTCAACGTGAACAAGTGTATAACGAAGTTTATGAGTTAAGGAGATAATCAATACCCTATCAAGCTTGTTTGTGAGGTTTGTTGTTTCGGAATTTTGATTAGCTAGCTCATCACGTATTCGACTGTATTAATCAAAATCAGATTACCAAATAATCTGCCAGATAAATCGGTAATAGTAATGTGAGAAATGTGGAGTTTTTATACCCTCTTTCAAGATTTAGATCCAAGCGTTGTCCAGCTGTTACCTTGTCAATTTCATACCTGTTTCAGCTGAGATTTCTTAGTTTCAGATTGGTTACTAAAAATATATATGAAGATGTTGAGAATGTGAGCCCAGGTTAGCTTGAAAAGTGGGGTCACAAACCTTAGCTCGCTTCTCATCTTCTCTATATCACCTCGTAATTTTTCTGTCTCGCGTTGCAAAACAGTAAAATGATGCTCCTGCAAAACGAGTGAAGAAAAGTTGGAAACTGACTAATGAATCACATGGAAAATGCTATTGTGCATTGAGATAATTAGCACAAAGTGATATGAAAAAAGTGAAATAAGATGGGAAGCAATCAACCCATTTTACCGGTATTTCTAGCTACAAGACTTAGAACTCCAACTCATAATCAGTTGCAACAAAAAGACATGCAGGAAAAGTTCGAAAGAAAAATTACATAAAAAAAGCAGCTTTCCATGTCTTATAATAGACATGAACTTCCCCACAGTATCACCACCAAGTACTTGAACCTTCGAATTTCAATGTAACACAACCTCTCAAACTAATCCATAATGAGAGAAAAAAACATTCCTTAATTAAGTAAGTAGAAATGTAGAATAACAAAAAGGGAGAACATAGAGGTGTAAAACGCAAGGACCAAAGTCCCCACACACATGTAGTGCCACATACCAACGAGCAACCCAGTTTCGTAGTCCTAAACAACAATGTATATGAGACAATGGTATTTGAGATTCTAAAACGCATGAAAGCTCAGATGACTTTTCAACATCAACAACTGTTCTACATCAAACCATAAAAATAGCCACAGATTTTCAAGGTTCTGAACTAATATTAATCATTAACAACTACTACTATATGCAAGACACCGACCCAGAACATGTGTACGTTACCTGAGAACTTTTTACTTCAGATTTAAACTTTGACAGATTAGAGTCTTGAAGCATTTCAATCTGCATCCAGCCACAAGACACAAGTAAGAAAAAGTGAGCTTTAAACAATTTCTACAGTAAGGTTCCACAATAGTACACAGATAAAACCGTAATTGAAACTATCACCTTCTGCATTTCTGCCTTCGAAACAAAAGACTCAGAGACATTTTCCAAGCTATCATTCAACACCTCGGTGATGGCAGAAGTAATCGCCTCAGCTTGTTTGGATGGAACACCTTGAGCTTCGAGACTCCTCACCTTTTCACAGAAACAAAAAACTTCAATATAAACATCCCAACAAGCTACTTGTGACTCCTCACGTTTTATAGAAAAAACATAAAAAAAAAAACAACCTCAACATAAACCAACGAAGCTACTTGTGACTCCTCACGTTTCACAACAACAAAAACCTCAATATAAACCCCACGAAGCTACTTGTGAATCCTCACGTTTCGTAGAAACAAAAACCTCAATATAAACCTAAGAACCTAAATTTGACTCCTCACATTTCAGAGAAACAAATCCCTCAATTAAAACCCAAGAAGCTACATGTGACTCCTCAAGTACCACAAAAACAAAAACCTCAATATAAACCCAAGTCTACAAAGATTCGTTGCTTTCTCCTAGATCTGGTACGTATATAGGAGAGAATGAAGATAGATAACATTTACCAGAGCCAATGTATCGACGAGAAATGCACGCTTCCCATTAGCTTTAGTAAGCTCCGAAATTTGGCGATACTGAAACGGACGACGATCAATCAAGCCGTAAGAGGAGCCGAGACCTCGAGGTTTAGCGATGGAAAGCGCGGATTGGGCCCCTAACAGAGCCAGGCGCTTTGACAAGTTCATCGATCGGAAAATTGTCTTCGACGGAAATTGAAAAATCGAAAAATCAAATCAATAGCAACAAAGATGTATCGGAGATGCAAGAAACTAAGATGAATATAATCTCGCGATTGGTTTTGACGTGCGTAGAGAGAAGATTTGAGAAGCTTTAGACCTTGAGGAAGAATGGGTTATTCTACTTGTGGGTTCTGATCTCTCGATGAGTTACCAAAATGCCAAAACGCACCCGTTTAGTTACTTGCCCAAAAAGCTCTCTTTCTTTTCGGGTTTTGATATCTTTATTTATTTTTGAATTTTGGTTAAATCTATATTTTTGGAAAATTAACCCTTGATTTATAAATTAGAATGTTTGGATGAAGGGTTCTTCTACTTCGTAGGAGTTGTATTTCAAAAATGGTATATAATTTATACTTGTCTAAAAAAAATGTTTCGGTTCATGTGATTTTGAACTTTGACTACAACATTAATGGTATTATTTTAGCTTATTTCCTAATGAATCATTCAACAATATCTTTTTTTTCATTCAACAATATTTTCTATGCAACAGCATACTAACGCACCATCAAAAAAGCAAACATCCCTTCCATCATTTTCTTTGTTGTTCATGATCACCAAAGCTACATTACATTTTGGTTATAGTTTCCTTGAAAAAACAGGTTTACATCCAGATTGCAACGGGAGGTAAAGAAAGCTTTCTTTATTGATTGGATCCTTGATGATGGTAAAGATATCTGAATATTAGTTGCAGGTTTTACAAGTTCAATAAGACTGAGTGAAGCCTTAATTTGAAAGAATATAAAAGTGAATTCAGTTGATTCTGTAAAGAGAAATTAAAAGAGACATGAGCAAGGTTCTGTAGGAACTGTATCTGGTTTATTCACTGCAAAACGAAAAATCATGATGAGCTTTCCTTTTTATTTTTTATTTTCTCCGAAAATCCACTCTTTCCATTTGATTCGTCTTTCATTTAGTAGCTTCATGAGACCCGACATCCTTTTTGCTGCCAGCGTATACCATAGACGTTTTTTTGGATCCTTTTGTCTATCTGAGAGATTTTCCAAGAAGATGATGAGAATGAGATCTACAACTAGTATACACTCTAAGATCGTCAAAACTGAAAAAGAAACATCTCCTAATCTTATATATAAAACTTGGTCAACTTTCTCCATCTGCTTGCCACATCAGCATTAGAGAAAGCGCCACCTATCCATTTAAAATCTTAATAAAATAAATAATTAATTACATTTAAAGAAAAATATTTATTAATCACACTTAAAGAAAAACATTAAAGCACATTAATAACACTTAAAGAAAAACATTAAGGCACATTAATAAATATTAATATGTATATGAACAAAATTATTGAAATAAATAAAATTTTATTTTATTTTAAATATATCAAAACTTAAAAATATTATATAATACAAGATTTTTTAAATCACCATTCTATTTTCTTTTTCCAAGTGATTTAAACTACATTTTCAAACTAAAAATATAATTAAATTTTAATGTAAGAGAAAAAAAAATAATGAGACTGAATAAGTTAAGAAGTTTTAAATAATCCTATATAAAACTCTTACTAATAAAATTATAAGACTAAATATTCAATAAACGATTATAAAAATAAAAGTTATTAAAAAAGTAATAGTAAAAAAGAAGAGTAGATACATCAAAATGTCATACAAAGTTTTTTTAAAAAAAATTTTAAAAATGGAATCAATAAAATATATATAACCAAAAAAACTCAAAATGATAAATTTTTCTATGAGATATTACGTTTTTATACATAAATTAAAATAGTAGATCCTTAGTCTCTCATTACCGTAGGAGAAAAATCGGATTATTTGGCACAATTCATGTCGAAGAGATTACAAATAGTGTATCATCTAGAAGAAATCAAAGAAAATATAAATATTTTAAACGAAAAAATGATGGTAAAAATATAATTTAAAACAAATTCTAAAAATGTATTATTTAAAATATAAATTAAAACAAGATCCGCGCATATGTGTGGGTTCTCTCCTAGTTAATATTTAAGTGTACTTGATTAATCTGTTACTTTCTAAGTCAACAAAAAAAAATTATCATTTTTTAGAAAACAATGTCAACATATCCTAAATTCGATACTATTTATTTTTAAAATATTAAGTATCATTTTTTTGGTTCACAAAAAAAATAATCCTTAATAATCAAAGTCAACATAAAAAAATGGAATCTATAATTTTGAAGTAGAAAAAATTGTGGATTTTACATACTATCGGCTCGTCCAGAAGTGAATTTGAACTTTGAACCAATAGAAACACATGATCACCTCTTTTTCTCATGCCCTTATTCACAGGAAGTATGGGGAAATTTGGTGAAAGGCCTTCCACAGAATCATTTCAGTCAGGAGTGGACACATATGGTGGAACTGATTACAAACCCTTCGTATGATCGCATAACAGCGTATCTTATAAGGTATGCATTTCAAACTTCGGTCCATTCACTCTGGAGAGAAAGGAACTAAAGAAAGCATGGCGGACAACCTTCTACAACCCACATGCTGACGAAGTTGATCGACAAAAAATATCGGAAACCATCTTAGCACCATTCGAGATACCGGAGACAGGAGATATGAAGAAGGTTGACAAACCTGGTTGCCACTAGGTAAACATAGATTTTTTTTCTTTCAAATTTTGCAGAAAATTTTCCTAAACTAAAGTTGCAAAAAACGATATTTTTTTCTTATGAGTATAATTTAACATTAGATTAAAAAAAAACTTGGAGAGGTCAACAAAATCACCAAACAACTTATCCTCTGGTTTCTTATTGATTTGATCCTGAGCATCACCAAGAAAGAGGAGCTTGATACTGAGCTTGTAGCTGAGCTTGCACCTGCGGATGAGCATAATGCTGAGGAGATAATGTGTGTACCAGTTAATCGAACTAAGGAGAAATGGATCAGTCCAACAACAATGTTTGATCCAGGCATCAACAAATGTGCATGTAGTCCATTTGTACTCTTTTTTCTTTATCTTTGGTTTTGTCCCAATGGATTTTCCAAAGAAATGTTTTTAATGAGGCAAGTGGATCACATTCAAATCTCTCATTTGTTGATCAAGACCCAAAGCCCAGCAAGAAATTTCAACCAGACAAGATCAAGGGTCATTCAAGTGAAGTCAAGATGTTTTTTGGGCTAGAAAACATTCACAAGCCAATTGGGAATATTATCTATCAAGTCCAGCTCCTTTTGAGCATGTTAAAGAATCCAATAAGGCCCAAAATAAATTAGCTAATTTTCTGCCCAAGAGGAGTGATGAAAATGAAGTCCAAGAGTCACTTTTAAAATTATATACTTAGAGAAATAAGCGTAATTTTGCGGGGGAAAAAAACTCAAGGGGAAAAAAATCATTTTCTCTTTCCCCGAGTCTTTGTTTCTCTCATCGTCTCCTCCGGCGATTCTCGGTGATTCCGTCGCAACCGCCGCTTCCGTCGATTATTTCAGGTGGAGATGTAATCCGAGCATCGCCCTTCTGTCCCCATCATCCAGGTAAGCGTCTGTTTTTTCTATTTCGAGTTGTTGTTTTTGATTTTGGGAATTTAGGGTTTGCGATTTTTGGGGAAAAAAACGATTGAAATTGGGGAATTTTTTTGTGAAATTAGGGTGAATTAGAGGTTCGTGTCTCCTCTTTGATATCCCAAATCGATTATGCGTCATGAATTTGGGAGATTTGGAAAAAAAATTGAATCGTTGAAATTAGGGTTTTTAAAAATGTAAAAAAAAATTTGGGGCTTTCTTTTGGGGTTGCAATTGGGGTTAAATTCATTGATTTACAACCGTCATACCCCTATTTCAAAAACGATTTCATGGTTTTAAGATTTATGTGCTTAATTATGTTGCGATGAAATTAGGTTTTTCCAAATTGGGGGATTATTTGGGGCTTTTTGTTGGTATTCAAACTGGGATTCACTTAATCCATTATCAACATGCGTGTGTATGTTAAAAGCCATTTACGGAGATGATTATTTTTTTAGGATATCGTGTGAATTCATATGGTTAATCGCGCTTTTATGATTGGCTTTTAAATCATTTGGTGGTTGATATATATATGATTATATGATACGATCATATTGTATTTCTGAAATTAAGTATGACATTATCGAAGATGAACTGAAATGTTCTTTCTGTTTTTACATGGACGGTATTGATAAGTATATGATATTATCGATGGTTTAGGGTTTACTAGTTACTTGTATGTATCGTTTTGCTGTTTATGTTTTGGTATTTACATTTATAGATGATTAACTCAAATGTTTTGCTGTTGACGTTTGCATTGGTAGATCAAACTTTATATGTTATGTAGCGTTTATGTTTGTATACTACTGATCATATTATTTTCTGGACAGAGAATGCTAAGCTACAGCAGCGATTCATCCGAGGAAGGTTTAGAGGTCTCGTACTGGGCTTACGCGGATGCCACTTATGGCATACCGGAGAAGTGCTTCTGTGACTGGGTTGTGAAGCTCAAAGAAAACGCAGCCGGACGCAAGTATTATTCTTGCCCGGAATGGATTAATGAGGTAAGTTTTGTCTATTGCTTTGTTTGAAGTTCAATCTTTATGTTATTCTTTGCTAACAGTTTGTAATGAATGTAGGGCACTTTTGACCACATTCACCAATGGTGGGATCATGCGGTAACAGAACAGTGCACAATCCTCGCGACAAGGATAGAAAAGCAGCAGGACCTGATCGTCAGTGTTGATCGGGGTAGAATCAAATCTGTTGATCCAGCCATAGGAGAAGTCCGTGAGGAGAAAGCAAGGCTTCAGGGAGAAGTCCGTGAGGAGCTAGCAAGGCTTCAGGGAGAAGTCAGGGTTTTGAAGGAGCACATTGGTACTCAAGGTGACAGTCTCTCGATGCTGTTCTTTATTTGTATTATTGCACTGTTCGCATATATCTTTAGGGTTTAGAAATGGCTAGCATTGATTAGTAAGTAGTGTAACATTAAGTATTTAACTTCGGGTCAAGTAATGTAGTTGTTTTAATGGTCTCTTTTAATCTTTTTGGTGAGGATAATTTGGACTCTACGGGTACAAGGGTTGGACTTCATGGCATATGGTTGACTGATGGCATATGGTGCACCGAACAAGGTTAGTTCTCTTGTAACTTAATGGGTTGTTGAGAAGTTTAGTTGTAACATGATTAGGTTGTGTGTTTGA